AATATGGTGTTTGTTTTCCTCTAGTTCTGCTTGAAGGTGTGATTTGCAGTGCGGGAAAGAGATTTCTGCCCTGCGAGAGACCCCTTGGGAAAGCAGGGTTTGCTGTATTTCTGTGAGTAGCTATTTTCAAAAGCATGGATTTTCAGGCCGGGTTGCTCTTGACCTGGGAAGGGAGAGTGGGGGGAGAAAAGAAGTCATGCAGAACACGTGTTTTGTGGCGTCAGCAACAGATGAGGGAGGATTTGATTTTCGCTTCAGGGAAGCAGAGTCACAGCTAAGCTGCCAGCAAATTGCACACTGGTTGAATGAAAAGTGTTGGACTGGGGCACTTACCAGAGCCAAGCTGTACTGCAATCTGACCGTGATTCTGCATATTAAATATCATTTGATGATGATAATTTAATAAGGATATGTATTGGCACTGATGCTTTACATATTTTGTATACTACCACTGAGGCCAGACCCAAAGTTGTTTAAATCAGATGAGAAGTTCTCATGGATTCCAGATGGTTTTAGATGACAGAATCCATGCTTAATTAATACATTTGAAGGTTGGGAACTTTCTAAGAGAGTTCAAATATTTTGTTTTTAGTTTTAGTTTATTTATTTTAGTCATTTCCTCATTTTTAATCTACATAATCAACATTATGCAATCAGAATAAAATCTTCTGGAAGTAAGGTTCCACAGGGCATCATAACAGATGGCAGAGTGCCTGGTTTTCCATGGTAATGGTAGTACAGAAAAGGGAATGCTTCTGTTCAAATTCCTGTCACCTCCCACCTTAAATTTTGTAATGCTCTCTGTCCTCTTAAAACTGTGCTCTGAATATCTCCGTAATGCTTTAGACATTTATTCAGAATAGAAAAATGTAACAAGCTGTTTTGCCATCCAACCTGTTAATAAATGTATGACATCTGGGTCTCTTCCTCCCATTCGTTTCTTTCTGCAAGTTATTCCCCTACTTACTGGGGAGAAATGAGATGCATCTGATACTTTTTCAGTACTAAGAGCTGGAACAGTATCAGCATTAATACTGTCCTAAATTTGAGAAAAAAATAGATTATTGAGATCATAATACTGGGCAAAAAGAGAATACTAAAATACGCCTATCTAAAGGGAGTGAAAGCAGATCAGTTTAAAGAGAGGTAGTAACACTCGTATCTTGTCTACATAGTGCAAGATCTGAAAGTCCTCATTCCCTTCAAGCTGCTTTAGAACAATCTGTTATTTGATAATAGTTACAGCTTTTTATCCCACAATCAGCCAAGGGCAGTTGTTGTGCACCAAATGCGTAAAAGGAAGATTAATAGCAGGGCTATTGTTTGTCACTGTGTGGGAGACTGATACAGCAACCAGCTTTGAAACAATGTTGGGTAGTTCTGAGTAAAACAGTGTCTGTGCTGTCTGGGTGGTGGGAACGGGCTGGTCTGGCTTAGTCCTGCCTGGGCTGCTTGTGCTCGGCGAGTTTTCAGAGACCCTTCCCATGCCGTGTGCCCTCCCAGGAGGAGGCTCAGTTCGGATGGTCTGCAGCAGATGTGTGAAAGGACTGGAAAGTCCAAGGGAGCACTACTTTTCCCTGCTTGGCCTAATGCTCCTCTCTTTTCCCCATAAAAATGTTAAGGTAAATGTCAATATTTTGTATCTCTTCTACATAGATCTGTGCCAAAATCTGTTGAATCCATTCAGGGGGACTTTCACCAACTTGTGCTCTCTGAAAGGGTCCAGAGTGGGAGCACCTCTGCCTGAGTGCTGACCTACTGGTCAAACAGTTCTGGGCTATGCACTTGACTTTGGGCTCTGTAATGTTGCTCCCTCTGCCCCTGTCTTTGGGTGACTGGAAGTCAGCTTTCTTTTATGAAGACGAAAAAAGAGGAACAGCACTTAGCTCTTTTCTTCATTATGAAATCTCTGGAGAAAAAACTCGTGCATTAGGTTTGAAAAAAGATTGGCACCGCTTTTGCACTGGGATCCAATGGCATTTCACAATCCCCACTAAGAACTGTCCACAGGAGAACAAGCATAATGGTGATGCTCATCCAAACGATCAAGGAATGTCATATGCTATGTCTGCTCATCACAAACAGATTAGCTTTAATTTCCTAGTCTGGATGACAGCACAGGCTATTCAACATCATCTTTGGGTTGCTAATCTTCAAAGAATCTATTTCTTTTTCAATGTTATTGCCATGGAAACTGGCTACATTGCAGGTCCAGATTACATCTTTACTGTTCACTCACTTTCATTTTGATTTGCAGACGTGCTTCAGGTGCAAGGAAGAGGCAAAGGATAAATCAATACTGTTCCTTGAAACATCTAGTCGCTCCCTGTGCTCTCCAGCCTCCACTGTGTGAGTGTAGCCACTTGCGTTCTGTGTCTCCTAGGGCAAGAGACTTGAAACCTGGAGGTCTGCTACCTGCAGCCTCATTTTCTGTGATAACATTGCTCAGCCAAGCCTGAGAGGACAACACAGCAGATTGCTTCCTTCTCTATTTTTCAAGCCTTTGCAAGTGTTAACACAATGATGCAGAGAGAATAATTACCATTAGGAGCAGAAATCTAGGAAATGTTTTGCAGATGCACTACAACTGCTGAAAACAGGTATAATCAGGAGTCAGGGAGAATTGTTGATAAAAGTACATATCAGTGTCAAGAATGGTGAAGTCTCTACGTCAGAATCCAGATAATGAAGTACTTAAGGGAAGAACATGTCTCTGCTACATGTCTGGTCTGCTTGTAACAAATGATGGCCCGAACCATGCGTGTTGCTGTTCTAATATTTTGGGGATTTTAGTGCTGTCTTGAGTGTGTGAGATCTCTAAATTTATTTTGTTTAGGCATTCAGCTGAGTGCAAGGTAACTGTGCCTTCTTTTGTACCTTGGTCTGGATTCTTAGAGTTGGAATGGAGGGGCTATACCTCTTTAGAGACCTGTGACAAGCTTTTGTTTTAATCAGATGATAATGGAGTTCTTTCTGACGGAATCATCTTTATCTCTTGGGAAATTTTGTAGGTTTGAAAGTGGATGGAGGGGGGTGTTAAAAACTAAAATGTGTTATGTATGTTTTCTTTTGAGTGTTTGGAAAACCTGGACTTGCATGTATAAGTAGCCCCTAGGCAGCTATAAGATTTGAAACTGGCATTTACATGGGAAGTCCTAATATATGCTGCTAACCTTCATGACATTACAAGAGTCATTTTCACACAGATAGCATTTTTAATGGATTATCTATAATGCATTAGTCACTGATGCCTTTGTCTTACTTCAAGCATTCGGATCCTTACATCCACTTTCCTTTTCACTGTACTTGAGCTACAGTCAAGTTACAAGGAAAAAATCTGTTGTTTATTACTGTACTGTTTTTTCTCTGACCTTTTTGTAATAGAGTTTCATTTTGGAGAAGACTTTCTGTGTCACTGTAAAGTCTTTCATGCCAGTACACATCACTGTACATCATAAGAAGCTGAGGGGAAGAAGTGCCCTTACGTTGCATGGGAAAGCACCTTCGCATTACGATTCTTCATTTTTTTTGTACATACAGGGTGTTGAGATTGATTCTCTTTCACTCTGACACAACAGAGTGCAGCACATGCCTTTGTCTGTCTCTCCAGAGAATGAGTTATAACTGGTAATAGAATGGGTGAGTTTACTAAGTACAGGAGGTAGGAAAATTATGTGGCTTTAAGAGATCTATTTCTAACCTAATTCAATAACTTGTTAGTTTATATGAGTAATTCATTGGCAGAGGTTGCTATTGTTGCAGAAAGGCTTGTGTAAATTGAGCATGGCAGGTTATATGGTTGGTTTTGGCTGAACATGGTAATATTATGTTCTCTGTATCCTCAAAGTTTGTATTCAGAAGAAATGAGGGGAATTTTTAATTTTGAGGACTATCATTATCCAGTGTGTCTGCATGACTTGCTTGCTTTAGTAAAGGAGTGCTTCCCTTTGCTTTAGCCTCTGCTAATGAGAGCAATGCAGAATCTAGTGTTCATACTACAGGAAAAAGTGCTCAGGAGCCAAACTTGTATTCCTGATTCTGTCATGGCTTCCAGCAGTTTTCTTGCATATGAGATGTGGCTTCCCAAGGGAGGAAAAATAAAGTAAAATCAAGAGCCAGGAAATGAGTAGGAACTTTTGAAAATGTTGGCCTCAATATGTCAATTTTTGTATTTCTAAATTGGGGGATTATATGTATTTCACAGGACTCCAGAAAGGCTCTGTGAGTGTTAGCAAAGTGTTTTAGAGGTGTTTGGAGCATGGCAAGTAGCACTGCAGTCCAAGGAACAACGTCTTCAGACCATACCTCTGGAGCATCTGTACATTTGGTGGCAGACCCATACGGCAGCAGTGCGTTAGGAGACTGTCATAGATCTGATTTCCCCAGATGTATCATTCCCCTCTTCCCCAGAAATCTTATCCAGAGGAAAAGAAGAAGAATTTGCTTATTTGTCCCAGATGCCCCCAGAATATGTCAGAGCTGGTGTCAGTGTGCATTTATTGGCGTACGCACTATACGATGTTCGTGCCCAGAGCACTGTTTCGCAGGGTGGCTTACTGTCAGTCTCAGGAGCATGCGAAGGGCTAGACTCTTCAGCGGAGTTCATGGCTAGTGCTCAGTCCACCTTACCATAAAAACATGATTACAATAAATTGTGCCTGCAGATGTTACAGATTATTGTGAATGCATCAACCATAGTTAAAGAGTTAGAAATCTTTCAGAAGAAGAAAACAAAAAGTTTCATGAGCCAATATCTGAAAGGAAACTCAGCTTCTTCCCTTTGTTTATCAATACTACTTGATTTTTATAAGTTACCTGCCTCGTCACAGTTTGACATACAAACCTTGTTTGACATACTGTGGCTGTCCCTTGCACTTTGAGGTTGAATGTACTACCTAGAGCATGTAACTAATGTGATGGGGTTTTGTTCATCCTTTCAGTTAATTCTGTGTGTTCTTTTTTCCCCCTCCTTTGTGCTGCACGGCTGATTACCACCCTAGGACCTTGCAATGGGACACAGACCCCTCAGTGCTGCAGCTCCAGTCTGACTCTGAACTTGGGTATATGTCAGCTCTTTTTGTTATTTGTTTATCATTTCTTTGCAAGAATTGTGTTAAAAATGCTTCCCAGTTGAGCTGGTTTTATGTGATTTTCATTTGCTTTGTTGACTCAAGAAGACTATAAGTTTCCTTTTTTTAGTTTCATCAATAAGAAGCTTCAGCAAAGCCATCTTTGTGGAAAAAACCAACTATTTAAAGAAATTCATGAAAAGATAAGCTGCTATTTCTGTTGCCTGAAGCACAATACAAATAACTATTTCATTACAGATGAAATGTTATTATTGTGGCACTTAAATGTGCATGTACAGTTACAATGGTCTTGTTTGTACCTGTTGATTCAGACTTTTCTCTCTGAATCATTTGCAAGGTAGTTTTCCCTGCCTTCCTGTCTTTGCCGTAGTTATGCTGTTTCCATATGCAGTGACAATTTCCCCTTTTTCCTTAGGAGCTGTATAAGTGCTTATAGTTGTGCACTTAAATCTGATCATGGTCCAAGAGTAATTGACATCTTAGTTGAGTTCAGGCCAATCAAGCATTTTTTAAATTCTACTAGAGCTAAAATTAATATTTTCTAGTTTGGGATGGAACTTCTCTACCCGAATAATCTGAAAAAATTATTTAATTTAAATAATTTAGAAATGCCTACTTGCAGAGATATTTAGGATAAACTGGTTCTCTAAAAAGGATATGTAGCTGTCCCTCAAGTTCTGCAGAACTTAAGTCATAGGCAAATCCAAATCTCTGTGTTGAAGAAGTTGCTCTACCTACAAACTTACAGGCTTGTCTGTCTGAGTCTTAAGGCAAGTGTCTTATGCTTTTACTAGTTCATGTGAAATTCATTCACCATTCTATAAGAAAATCAACAATTTCCCTTTAACCACTGATTGACAGCGCTCCCAGCTGCAGTTAGGGCAATTCACCAGGCAAGATGATCAGAGGGAATTGAAAGCATTTGGAGAGCTTTCTGTACAGGCCTCCTCCACATCCAGAGCTGTTAGGAATGTTAGTAATTTCCATTTGTCTGTGGCTTCAAAGAGATTCAGCTTCTACAACTTTACCTGGACCATACCAAAAAGGTAGAGTTTCTTGAGCTGGTTTAATATACAGAAACCTTATAGAAATCTCAGCTGCTCTTTCCCAGAAGCTTGGATTAAAAGAAGAGCACTCCCAGGAGCAAAGTTCCTCAAATGGCCGTGCAAGGCAAGGTGGTTTATTTGACTTGGGTAGAGATAACCGTGCGTACAGCCACAAGACTTCAAGCTTTTATGAACCGTCAGTGCAAAGACAGAAGAGAAGCCAAAGAGTAAATCTACAGGTATATTCCATAACAGAAAAACCCTGCCCCTTTTGAAAGAAAAACCTCTTCAAGACCAAGGCAGAGTTAAAGAGGGAACCAGGCTTCCCTCTGGTGTCATAAGACTAGATAAAAAACAATACCAATGCAAAAGAAATCCTGCAGTCAGCATGCAAATGGTGTGTGTAGTTAAATACTTCTAGCAGATACATCTTTCTTCTGGCTCATATAGGGGAATCAATTTTGATGCCTGGACTTTGATCACTGTCCTCCTACTGACATCCCATAGGCAGTTTTGAAAGGAATCCTTCAAAGCTTATGTGTTCTCTAAGATGAAGAGTCGGCAAACTGTAAATGATAAGAATTATGAGCAGCTCAGATGAAAAATGTGGATGGGAAAGGGACAGTTTAGTACTGCCCTAAAAAGAACCAGAGACTAGAACATTACAGTCCAAATTTGGTAGAGTCCAGACACTGAAAGGATGCTCCAGTTGGCCCTGAGTGCTTGGGACCAAGGGCTAGGCCAACTTTTAGTTGTGCAAGAGCCATTATGGATTGCTTAATGGGGCAAAAAAGAACTAAGAGACCACATTTCTTCAGATGAAGAGAGACCTCCCGGTCTTCATCAGTAATTATACTAGGATATGGGCAACACTAGATGTTTGTACAGTCATCAGCAGTTCCTGAACTAGAAATGTTTTAGGTGAAAAATTCCACGCATTCTGTCTGCACAGTGCTCTGGGATGAAGCTCACTTCTTGTTTAGCAGTTTACAAAGAGGCCAATGCAGCTAGCGGTTAAATCTGTCTTTCCGTTAGGACTGATGTTCCCCATCCTCAGGCAGTTGAGGTGATATGGAGTGACGTCATGTGAAACTGTTGTTAGAATTAGGTGAGGTTCTAATTAGGCCCAGATTAGACATAAGTAATTAGAGATTATGCTTAACCAAGACCACAGTCAAGAAGCTTCTTCAATGCAGAAGGTTTAAGAATCTCGGTAAATAGAACCAGTAGCCTGGGGCAGCAAAGGACTGGTTACACAGGAAAATCTAACTGAACAAGTAGGCGACAGAGATTTCACATCTGGTGCTGAAGGAGGGAAAAGCACATGAGATTTTGCTGGGTTGGGATATTTATTAAAGCTTGAATTCACACAAACCCTCAGTTAAAGCAGCTACAAAAATGTAACGCTACTAAAACTTTCGTTAGCTGAAGTATATCACAAGCTATAGAAGTTTTTCTGCCCCCACACAGGATTTTCAGACAATCATAGCTGTTGTTCATATTGGCAAAGTCGCAGGTGGTTATAAGGAGGGAGACTTGTTAAATCTTCCTCTTTGAAAAGAAGAAAGACTCAGAGCTGTAACAACTATTTCTGCTCTAGTGGTTTGTTACATGGTGCAGCTGATTCATACTGATTACCTGCTGAATCTAATTGTATTCAGCTTAGTAACAACTCAGCCAGAAAGACAGATTAGAAAAATATTTAGGTGATGTAGCATTAACCAGCCGAAGAGTTCAGTGGTTGTCATCCCATGATGACAATTTCCTTTTGAGGCTCCCATTTCCTTTCTTATCAATCTTAATTGAATACCTAAACCACTGTAAATGAATTAGATTAAGAAACCTTTGACCGCTGTTCTTCCGACAATCTGGAAAACAGAGAGGATATGGGATGTGGATAACGTCTATGAATTTTCTGCTGTTTCAAATTGCTTTCTCTAATGACACGGCCGTTCAGAAACATCATGTCCATGAATTTTTTTCCCATAAACATATTAGCATGCTTTCACATGTTGATGTAGGCAACTGGACTTACTTAGTTGATTTGTTTATTATGTGCAGATTCCTTTCTCTGCTGAAAGTTGGAAGTTTTTTTTCCAGTAAAACACTTGCAAATAACTGTTTGTTTATTCTTCCCTCCCTACAGACAGTCAAATAGTATTCAGGAAATAAATCAACTGTTTTTTCCCCTTGCTGTTGAGTGAGCTGTGTATGACTAAAAGTGTTCATGACCATGTTCAGCTGTCTCTCTTCTTTTTCCCTTTCCCACTTACAGTTAGTTGGCTCTACTGATTTATTTCATATGATTTATTTAAAGTAAGGGAAGTAGTATAAAAAGGAGACTATGCTTGTCCTGTTCCAGCTGTGTCTCGGAGCTTCCCTCCAACCCTTGCATTATGACTCTACTAGTCATAAACCCACATCAATTCCACTGCTCATGACTCTTGTGGAACTGAGAATCTCTTTCTTTATGGAAATTACCCACCTTGCCAATTCTGTTGTTGCTCTCAGGTGAATATCTGATAGTCCTAATCCAGCCTGGTTGACACCCACTGTGTTCTTTCCACTGTCGTGTATCTCAGGCTCAGGATTAACTAATTTGAGCAGGCAGAACTTGGTAGTAATGATGGTATGGAAGAGAATTTTGTTGTATGTTATGAGGGGCACAAGCAGGTCATTTCTCTCTCTGATTTAGTCCCTCTCAGCAGCATGATCTGGAGGTTCAGTAACTGTATTTTATTATGGTAAATGGTTCCCAGGTTAATTTTCTTCACTGCAATTAGGTGCTTCTCATACATAGTGTATTGTGTTTCATCTTAGAAAACACTGAAGTATTTTTTTTTATCCTGCTCATAAAAGCAATCACTCTTGTTCCTTCTGCTGATTTACATTTAACATGACTAACCTTCTGATGTCATGTATTCCATCTTAGACGGAGACTGCACAAACTAGGGGTGTCAAAGATTACCCAGGTTGATTTCTTACCTCGGGAGGTGGTATCCTACTCCAAGGAGACCCAGACACCTCTTGCCACGCATCAATCTGAAGGTAAGATTTTTTTTTCCAAAAAAACATTTTCATAGAAAATAATTATTCAAGTAAGACTTAAAGAATGTAAGAAAAATAATAGTACATCTTAATATCGCTACTTATCACATATTTTCCGCAAGCCAGGTATTGTTTATGTGATTAATGGCTGTTCTGGTGAGAATAATTATAATAATGACTTTAAATTCAGGTGGAACCAAACTACTTCTGCCTTACAATGGGTTGTGCTTAGATAATAGTATAATGAGAACATATTTTCAAATAAATCATTATGAATATAATTAAAATAGTGCTTTATTCCATTTTCCTTGCTTTCTCAAGGAAGTTATTCATTCAATTCTTTATAAAAAGGCAGTGATGGAAAGTTGGCCTCAGATATTTGGTCAGTGTAATTGTGTCCCCCTCCAGTAGGTGAATCTGAGGAGAAGTTACAATTTAGCTCCATGTGCTGAAAAAGGAGGCTTACACACTTTGATGTGGACAGTCCTGCTTTCTCTCTGCTGACAGTTATATTGTCTGCACTCATGGAGCTGTTTCTTAGCTGTTTGGCTTTCCTGTTGATAAGTAAATATGTGGAGTAGTTAGTAGAGAAGTGCTGATCTAACTGTTCCTTAGACTACACACTTGCCAGTGGTGTACTGCAGAACACTGATTGCAGGTCAGTTGAAACCATTTAAATGGAATGTAAAACTGTACATTAGCCTGATGTAATTTACACATTATTACAAAGCAGGTAAAAGAAGAAAAGAAAAACTGAAGACAGTCTTGACTCTAATTTTTTGCTGTTAACAATGAAGCATCAAGAAAGGTTCAACAATTGTGTGCTTTCCTGCAGCAGATAGTGTAGAACTTCACCAGGGTCCACACAGAAGAAGATTCAAGTAGGTTGCAAAAGATATGTGAGTAAATCTGTCTAAATATAAGTTACTTTCAGGGAAGATACAGTGGTTAAACATAGCCAGCTTTCTTTCCACAACTGGGTTATCAGGTCTGCCTTTAAGAAATTAGAAATGAAGTCTGCTGAGCTAGATACTCAGATTCTGCTTTCCCAGACCACAAGTTTACCATGGTCAGCTGTTATATGAAATAGTGACTTCAAGCGTGGGCAACCCTGTTGCTTGGACACTGCTTCTTGAGCAGCATGTCCTGACAGCTTTGCCTTCTCAGTGGGAGAGGCTGCCTCGGAAGCCTCCCTGGTTCAGTCCAGCTCATCTCTGCTTGTCTTTCCGAGGGCTGCTGAAGCCTCGAGAAGATGGGGTTTGCCACTGAGGCCTTGCCTTCCTGGCTTGAGACTGGTAGGTGCTCAACCCTGGAGCAGTATCATGGAGTCATTCTTAGATAAGATGGAGAGGCTTCCCTTCCTCCCTGACACAGGGCCTTTATCCAGTGCAAGAGCCGATGGATATGGGGAGTTGAAGACACGGCTTTGCTGTGTTCACCTCTCTCAGGGCTGCAACTCCAACACTCGTTAGCAGACTTGCCTTTCTGAACAGGCCAGTCTCTCTTGAGGAGGCAACTTCTTCCAGTAGGTCCTTCTTGCGTTTTTCCAAGGAGCTCCTCAACTATTACAAAATCCTTTTCTTGGGTAGACAAGAGGACAACCTCCTACCCTTCAAGAAAATAAAAAAAAAACGGTGTGCTGCTGTGAGGCCTGGCAGTCAGGACAGCAAGCACAGAGGGCAATGTGGCTTGTCTTGCCACCGAACAGAGAGAAAGCTCTTGTTCTTCACTTGTGCGAAAAAAGATAAATGCAAACATAAAAAATTACGGACTTCAAACTGTCTAGGTCAAACCTGTGATGGGAAGCATGAAATAGTGGTAAGTGGTTTTGGTGATTAGATTTATTATCTTTTATATTCTCTGTATCATCAAAGTCAAGGAAAAAACATCAACAAAAGTGAAGTTTTAATATTTAAACACAGAGAAACTTTGCTTAGGTATGTGGGGGAGAGAAAGTTTAACTCTGTTTTCTTTCCAATCTGCTGCTAGGGATTTCTCTGCACATTACTTGGACATGAATATGGCCCTGTGTCAGTAAAGGAGAGTCAGGAAAGTTTGGTTATTCCACGGAAGTGGTATACTCTCTAGGGGATAGATTAGCTCTGTATTTTTGGTCTCCCAGGTCTGATGGAAATGACTTCTCAGGTTTTCAATCTCCTAAGCCTCTTTATGAATGCTGAGCCCTTCATACTGTCACTCAAAACATGAACAGCAAACAGAGGGGAATTCCTCGAAAGAGTGGTTTGAGAAGTCTCTACGCTGTTCCTATGCATTCATGTGATAAAATATAGCCATTATCTTTTTAAGATAAATTGTTCAGCTATTACTATGGTTATGTGCTCCAGTTATTCAGTGTCTGAAGCCTTAGAGTTTGAGGGAAGAAAAAAGAAACCCCGTATTTACTTAGATGAGTCTGACTTCAGCTTTCAGAATTCACTCTTTCGCTGCCTGCCTTGGACACTGGAAATGTCAAAATGCAGAATTTTAGGATGAGATAGTCACACTCTTGCTTCTGGTTTGGAAAGCAACTAATGAAGAGTACAGTTGGTTGGAAAGATCTTTCATTTACGATTAAGCTGCCAAAAGAGGACTTCGAGTTCATTCAAAGTTCTGTAGCTGTTTTGAAATGTCAGTATCAGGTTTTCTGCACATTGCTTCTCTAGAAAGAAAGAAAGAAATGGAGCTCAGTGGATGTAGGCCTTTGTGGTAATGGCTATTCCTCACCAAACCTTACAAAACTGGTAAAGGAAAGCTTCATTGTGGCAAGTACAGTGTGGTGCCAGAGAGCCAGCTGCTATGAGCACTGAAGTCTCAGCTTGTCAGCTGCTAATTTTAGAAGAAATAATGTGGCATTATTCTTCACTGTATAAAAACAGATTAATTCCTCTTTTCAGAACAGGTAATTTGCTTTATTTCAGAGGAATAATGACATGTCATTTCCCTCACCCACTTTATTATTTAGGGAGATGTGTATATGCATCATTCAACCCTTTGATCACAAGTACCTAATTCTTTTGCTTTATTTAGGTCACAGTAAGCTTCAGCCTTTTCTTTTCTTCCTTGTAGGATGACTTCAAAAGCACACAGACCTTGGCTCTGGAGCCTGAGAAAAAAAATGCTTTTTACTTTTCCCCACCTCCTTCTATAATTGGACTTGAATTTAGGTATTCGTAGGCATTGAGAGACATTTCACTTGTGCTGCTTTTTCCATTCTGGAGTTGATTAAGAGGTAGACTATGCCAAATGTTTTCTGAGAGGTCTCTGGGACACATTCCTTCACTGTACAGAGACTCTCACGTTGCCCCAGAATGGCAGCCCCATGTAGCCTTCAACAGTTGGACCCTCCAAAGCACTGCACAACTGCCCTTGGCTGAAGGGCACACCTAGGAGAAAGCAGCAGCAGAAAAGCCATGGCCTGACTTCCGCTCAGGCTGAATCCCTCACTGCCATACAGCAGTGGAAGGAGGTCTGTACGTCTACCTGCAACCTACCTTTTCAGATAGGATAATAGTCTGCACATTCAAGCTCTGCTGGGTGTCTGCCTCAGCTCCAACTTGCTGTTCTCCTGCTCTCTAATGCTCCAGGAGGTAAAATCCCAGTGAGGACAACATTACACTGTCCCTGCTCTGAGAAGGGAGATACTCCTCTGATCTGGCTTCTCTCAAAAAGAGGGGGGCAGCAAGAAGGTGAAGGTTGTCAGCTCTCAAGCTTTGCTGGCCAGTGTCAGGAATGTTGTTATTCCTCTACTGTGAAGTAGAAACTACTTCATCATCGATAAAATGAGATGTTCTCACTTTTCTGGCTTGCCATACTGTCACTGCAAATAGGTTGGTCTGAAATGCTTTTCTGAAAAAGTAGATCCCGTATACAATGGAAGAAGATCTGATTTTCTAGAACAGTGGAGGTCCTATGTACTTCCCCTGTTTATCATCTTCAACAGATGGTTGTTCATGTGGGGAAAACAAATGTGTTACCCCACTCACCTCCTGAGAAGGATAACCTCATCCTACATCACAAATGCTTGCCCAGTTCTGGCAAAGAATGCAGTTCAAGCCCATTCTCCATCTGTTTATTTGCTGTATTCAAACACTGAGGATATTTTGGCTACTGGGGAAAGAGAAAAAGTAAGCTCACTACTCCATTTAGAAGTAGACTGGAATGAAGTGGCAAAATGGAGGTGAAACTGCAAAGGTTGGGTTGAGTTCTGCATCCCTCTGACACTGTAATTCTCTGAACTAATGTTCCTGAAAGTTATCCTTTTTAAAGCACTGAGGGAGGAGAGGGGAATTCTGCTCACAGCATAAGGCTCGTGAGACCAAGACACATGAGTTTAGGTGTCTGTGTGTGATACCGAATGTAAGTGACTACTGTAGGGTGAACCAAAACTCTCGCTATGTGCCATTGACTGCATTGACTAGTTCTTTGTGGACTAGCTTGATAGCAGAGTGCTTCATGTAGGCATATTAATATAGGTTTCTCATTACTGGCTGAACTGCATATGATTAGAACTGGCATACACTGACACCATGTGATGGCTGTGTCCTACTTTGCGTTTCGGTAATCGGGTGAGGAGTTGCCTGCAACTAGGACTGACAAGCCCCAGTAATGTGAAAACAAGTCAGCCTCTGGAAATTCCATGATAAAGTCCATAGATAAATTTATTTTTACTCTAGTTGTTGGGGACTGAGATTTCCCGGTTTAATCACTGTGGAGCTCTGGCTCTGTCTATCCCGTAAGATAATGTGTGGCAGACCTTTAGCACAGCATATTCTGCACCAGGCCTGCTGTGCCTTCCCGTATCTGCCTGTAGCTCAGCTCTAGCTTTGTGAGCGCATGCTGTAACTTAAGAAAAGCCAGTACCAGAACTAAGCGAGATCAGGCTTGAGCTTTCCCATGTCCAGTCTGTCTAGAGCTCATGGATCAGAAGCTGGGGGTTAAGTTAAAGAGCTTACTTTGGGTTTTCCCTTGCAGAGAATCTTGGAGCTCATCTCCAGTCTGAA